GCTACCACCCGTCTTAATCCTCTTTTTCTCGATTTAGAGGATGATTCGAGTTGGCGCGGAACGAGAGATGTATCAAGCAGAATCGCGGAATCTCGTGAAACGAATGGAGAGATTGAAATGGAATTCGTAATGAAATATCCTTATTGTTGCCGCGGCATTAAGGCGTACCTTAAGCCGCGTACACACGCCCGCAACAAAGCCGTAATGCAGCCGAGTCGCGTAACTTTCACGCGGAACTCTTCGAAACGAACGGACGAGAGAAGCACAGTGCCGGGGCGAGAGAGAGAATGAAATTTCGTTCGGCGCTCGTTACGCCTAACGTTCGTTTGTTCTTCGCTGTGTTGCTGCAGCGGCGTGTGCTTCGATGTACCGGGTGGCCCTGGTCGAAACGCGTGATTATTCCTCCTCGAGGTGAAGATAAGCATCGGTTTCCTTTCGTCTGACGCTTTTCTCTCTTTTTAAATGAACTCGTAACGTCTGTAATAAGAGTCACACGAGACTGTAATTAACGCAAGAAATCGGTGGTAATCACTCCTCGCAGCTTTCTCTTCGTTCGAGAACTTGTTCCTTTCGTCTGAGCAGTCGTATCTCTATATCGCTATCAACTACATTTAAATAATTGTTACCCTTGAAATTGCACGAAATACTGCTCTTAATGACAATCCTTTTTTAAAGAACGTTAAACTACATTTAAATAATTGTTACCCTTGAAATTGCACGAAATACTGCTCTTAATGACAATCCTTTTTTGAAGAACGTTAACACGAATCACGTCTCTCGTATGAAATTGAAATCTGCTTCGTTTCGCACTTTCTTGCCCGTCGAATTACACGCTACCATTACCAGTCGCGTTACATTCCTCGAGCCAGAACCTCTAACCTAACCCCTCCTATTCGCAGGTCTCCTATTTAAGGTTTGAAATTAACAATGCGCGCCCCTCCCCGTATATACCGACCAGGTGTATCCATTAAATCCCTGGAACAATTCAGCGTTAAAACAAACAGACTGGCTGCGTGTAACAGGATAAATTGGATATTCCTTCTACCTGGCCCCGCGTGAGTTTATTCAACGTGCAGTTTCTTCTCGCCCCCCTCTCGATGGAAAACGGTCAGAGGAGGATGGTGGTGTACCTTTAGGTGCACCGTTACATCGTTAATGCGCCTTTGGGTCCCGAAAAATAAGGCGAAGCGCGCGGCGCGCAGGGCAGAGAAGAAAAGGCGCTCGTTACACGAGCCTGCGGGGACAAAAAGACAGGAGTTTTTGGAGAGGCGAGGGGAATAGGTACGCGGCGATCGTGTCCCGCTGAAACGACACCCGCTGAGCTACCAGGAAGGACGATTATTGTTAATTAAGGTGGGCGTGTCGGGCAGGTCACACGCCGGTTTCCCTTAACGAAGGGACAGGTCAGCCTGTTTTATGAATTCTAATGCTCTCGGCTCTATAGAGTGTGTAGGATCGCTCGACGAATTTTCCCTACCGGGCTAAAGGTACTATTTGCATTTCCAACCACGTGAACGACGACTTTTACACAGTTTCGACTAGGTCTGGCCTCTTGATGTAATTAGTCCTCCTATTCAGCGCCCTGTCGGTGTGGGATTATCCGGTCGTTGACGAGGCTGTTTGATAACCAATCGAACGTGTATTGTTTCTTGAACGTTTCTACCCGTGTTAATTACCGTGCACCAGGAAAGTGTGGGTTTTTCGAGGCGTTGCCCGGGAATTTAGGACGTGGCAGATTGGATTTTAGGCCAGTACCACGTCTTAAGAAGCTTCTGTTTTAACGTTACAGGCTGAATCGATGTATCTTGCCTCCCAAGGTCACATCTTCCGCTGCTGTAAATGGCGATAAGGTGTTCGTTTTCTCGATTTTTCTAAGTGAACGCGAAGATTGGCTTTGTCCAAGGAGTATATGGCGCATCTAAGAGGGATAACGGTTGAACAGAACGATTTCGAAGTTGGAAATGGTCGAGTGGTAGGAAGACGAAGCGCCCGGGCTCTCGAGGAGCACCTATATCACGTGTCGAATCGTGGCTAGGAGGCGTTAACGGCGACGATTTAACGAGATTACCCCGCGCAGGGCGAGGAGGAGGAGGAGATCTGATTGGATGCCGGAAAAGATCATAAAGGGGCGTAATTAGAGCGAGCTTTGTTCCCTGTCGCCGCAAACGGACGCTTCGTTTCCGGCGATTCGGGTCTCGTTGTGTCCTGTTCCTCCGTTGATCGAAACGAACTGCGTTGGCCCCCTATCGATTCTCCTTCGAAATTCCCGTTTTTCCCCGGGATTCGAATTAGCGGCCGGAAAATTAGACCTTTGATGCCGTCACGCCTACGTTCGGCCGCAACGAGGGGAATAGGTACGCGGCGATCGTGTCCCGCTGAAACGACACCCGCTGAGCTACCAGGAAGGACGATTATTGTTAATTAAGGTGGGCGTGTCGGGCAGGTCACACGCCGGTTTCCCTTAACGAAGGGACAGGTCAGCCTGTTTTATGAATTCTAATGCTCTCGGCTCTATAGAGTGTGTAGGATCGCTCGACGAATTTTCCCTACCGGGCTAGAGGTACTATTTGCATTTCCAACCACGTGAACGACGACTTTTACACAGTTTCGACTAGGTCTGGCCTCTTGATGTAATTAGTCCTCCTATTCAGCGCCCCGTCGGTGTGGGATTATCCGGTCGTTGACGAGGCTGTTTGATAACCAATCGAACGTCTATTGTTTCTTGAACGTTTCTACCCGTGTTAATTACCGTGCACCAGGAAAGTGTGGGTTTTTCGAGGCGTTGCCCGGGAATTTAGGACGTGGCAGATTGGATTTTAGGCCAGTACCACGTCTTAAGAAGCTTCTGTTTTAACGTTACAGGCTGAATCGATGTATCTTGCCTCCCAAGGTCACATCTTCCGCTGCTGTAAATGGCGATAAGGTGTTCGTTTTCTCGATTTTTCTAAGTGAACGCGAAGATTGGCTTTGTCCAAGGAGTATATGGCGCATCTAAGAGGGATAACGGTTGAACAGAACGATTTCGAAGTTGGAAATGGTCGAGTGGTAGGAAGACGAAGCGCCCGGGCTCTCGAGGAGCACCTATATCACGTGTCGAATCGTGGCTAGGAGGCGTTAACGGCGACGATTTAACGAGATTACCCCGCGCAGGGCGAGGAGGAGGAGGAGATCTGATTGGATGCCGGAAAAGATCATAAAGGGGCGTAATTAGAGCGAGCTTTGTTCCCTGTCGCCGCAAACGGACGCTTCGTTTCCGGCGATTCGGGTCTCGTTGTGTCCTGTTCCTCCGTTGATCGAAACGAACTGCGTTGGCCCCCTATCGATTCTCCTTCGAAATTCCCGTTTTTCCCCGGGATTCGAATTAGCGGCCGGAAAATTAGACCTTTGATGCCGTCACGCCTACGTTCGGCCGCAAACAAAATAAATCCTTCGCTCTCTCTCTCACTTTCTCTCATTTTTTCTCTCCCTCGGTCCTTCCGTTAATCGACTTCGTCGAGGAAACGATGTTTTTCAGTGCTGTCACGGAAAAAAGAAACAGAGAAGAACCCAAACCCCTGTTCATCTCGGAGAGCTATAAAATCCACAGTTCCCTCCCAGCCTCGCGATTCTAACTGGAAAACTTTGAAACGACCTGTAGACGTTCGACTTAATTACTCGTAAGCTCGATAAACAAATAAACCGTTCCTCCGGCATTGATCCTCGTAAAATGTTTATTACGGCAATCGCCGGAGTCGCGTCGCGTCCCCTCCACACTCCCGCTAGTTGCAGTAACAATCGAGTACGTCTTTATCGCGCGATCTTGCTGACGATCGGGCGGTGTGGGTGGATGGGAAACTCGGGGACGAAAGGCATCAAAGGAAACAAACGAGGAGAAACAGGATGATCGGTGAACAAGGCCGCGTTTACCACCACCCCCGCTGTTCGACCATCCCCTCTCGCGATCGCACGGGGTGCTTTACTGCCGTTGCATCCGGATTGAATTTAAATATTTCTTGGGCGGACGAACTCTTTCGCGAATTGCTCTGTCGTAAAAGCTCCCCTTTCTCCTCTCTCTCTCGTTCCCCTTCCCGCCCCGTGGAAGGATCGTTTTGCTACGAACTGCTGTTTCATTGGGATCGAGGAAACCGAGTGACGAGGGCAGAGGGGAGAGAGAGAGAGAGAGAGAGAGGGGGAGACATTATGAAATCGTTGCGCGCCGTCTTAAGGGCCAATAAAATTGCACGGAACTCTGGCCGCCGGTGAAATTAATATCAGCCGGCACAGTTTCATCGCGGATTGTAATGCCGTGGTCGTCTTTACGATCAAGTCTCGAAACTGTCGCGGCCTAAATATTGTGTTTTTCGAGATTCTCGCCCCGCGTGCACGTATTATACGCCTTATGAAAGAAGTTTCGAAGGCTGTTCGAACTTCCACGGTACGGGAAACGGCGATCGAATCTGTTTCATCGATACTGTTTACACTGCTGGTAATTAGAGACTCTCGTACAGGCTGATTCATAATTTCACAATTCACCGAGGACTTTTCTAAAAGAACCGACCAAATTATCTCGAAACGGTTGATCCTTCGATTTCTCCAATTCCCAGTTACCACCTGTGACCACCACCTTTTCAAATCTCCCAGCAATTCTGAAACAGAGAAACAACCCCAGAAGCAACGGCTAACGTGTTCGTTCTTCCTCGTGTTTCAGGTACCAGAGAGCCGGAAGAAGCGAGCCGGTTCCAGGAGAGCCGGGCCCCAATAAGCTTCCACTTTAGCTAGGCCAGGAGCTTTTTTGTTTTTTTTTCGTCGTGGGAAGCTGTTGGTGGGCTCGTCGGGCCCACCCTCTCATCGGTCAAGCTGGCGAGCGCTCTAACCGCTGGTATGAACCCCCACCATCCGGGCCACTCCGCAGCCTACCCGCATCATCCCTCGCTCTCGAGCAGTCCTCATCATTCCGGGCCCCATCATGGCTACAG